CCCGCCTGTGTTGGCTTTGCTCTAATTACCGCCGCGTTGGGAGGCCGGGGGGCAGGGTTCAGAGCCACCGTGGTTGTTATCTAATTGAACATTCAAAGTACATATGAGGTAATTTCTTTCTCTTTTTGTAAGTGTTACGCTTAGAGAGAAAGCCCGGTTACAATAAAAGCCTTTCCACGCTATTTTTCCCTTCCTGAGAAGTCGGTGTGGTGGGGAAAGGGGCAAAACCCCAGCATTCTCCTGAGGAAAATCCTTGCTGCGCCTCACAGCCGAGGCTGAGGTAACACTTCCAACTGCCACAGTCCCAGCTCGGGGGCCTGACCCAAACGCACTGCAGCCGGTTGGCATGTCCACACCAAGGCAGCACCCAGTGTTTTCGGTGCCAATGGTGAATGCTTGATGTGCTTTCTCACAGGAGCTTTCGACAGATCTTGGCTCAGATGCAATAGCATCATCCTTTTTTCTTCGAGCATCTCTTCATCAAAGCTGAACTGCTGGGTGCTGGTGACTGTGGTAGTGCCATTATTAGGCACCAGAGTTAACGGTCCATTAAGAAGCTGTGGTTGTGCACATCATGTGTGACATACACAGATATTATTAAATTTGCAAAGTTAAGCACACAAACACTAGGAAGCATTGGAATTCAGGCTGCCCATACACCCTTGAGCCTTTTCACCCAACAGAGCAGCTGACAGAGTAACAGGGAGTTATCCTTTATTTTCACTGGTACCAAAGGGGAATAACACACACATTTTGCCAGTGAGTTTCAGACATGCACTGACAAGAGTACCTTCATCACTACATACCCACGTTCCTTGTGCATCAAGAGCCTGCAAAGGCCCTATGTACCTGCAAGTTTTGCTTTCAAGCAAAATCTTAACTACAGCCTTAACTCTTGCTCCAGCTACACACGAGCGCAATACTGTTGTTAGAGGCAGTAAAGTAAAACCCAGGTTTTAATAGCTCAGCCGCTTCACATCAAATGACATTCTGCTTTGCAGTGGCAGAGCCACCCTATCCTGAGAGAGGGAGACAAACTCCACTTTTAAAAATACATTAAATTATTCATCCGCCAAAGACACTGAAGTTAATAGACAGCTATCTCCCCAGCACTACAAATTTTAGCCAATTAGTCATTACGCCACATCTGTGAAGTGGGTTAATTTAATTCTTCTCATTTTGCATAAGAAGGAGGAAGAAAGGTTAGGGGACTGGCCCAAGGCCACAAAGAGCACTCAGAGCTGAGCCTAGAAAGCAAACTTCTTGTTTCCCACGCCTACGTTTCAACAACTAGACTTGGCTTGCCTACATCAGAAAATAGACTGGCATAGCTATAGCTGTGTAATTATACCATAACAGTTTATGCCGGAATAAAGAATCTCCTTGCGGACATTCTCCTTCAGATGGAACGTGACTTCCCAAAAGCTTCCCAAATGAATTCACTCAACAGCACACACTTTGGGTTTTGCCTTTTTTGTCCCCCCCTCTTCATTTTAGGGGGTCAAAATTCCTGAGATGCGGGTCTCAGCAGCATTTTGAAGCCCTTGATCACTTTTACAGACCATTGAAAAGCAGGGACAAATGCAAAACATCATTGAAATGCTACAAGTCTTCTTGTCGAGATTTTATGGTGCTTTTCATCAAAATGTTGAAAACTGAAAGCTTCCAGCTGGCTCTCCTTACAGGTAATAATTTAATAGCTAACATCTCTTCTCCCAAAGCTGCTGGAACCTGCTTGAGCCATGGTAGCTGATGGGAAAAGCCAGACCCATCCTCTACAGTAATTATTTCTGATTTTTTAATCCTGCTGCTCCATAAGCTTTCAAAACCAAATGAAGCTGTGAAAACAAGGAGGAGTAAGGGTCAGGGAATAAAGTGAAAGGGTTTGCCTTTAAAAATAGTCTTGTTAACTCCAAGGACTGCAGAAATGAGCACATCTTCACTACAGCAACACAGGGGCGAATCACTGGTTTCGATGCAAAACTTAGCTTGGGGGCTGCAGCAAGAGCTCCACAGTGATTGACATCAATCACACACCTGCCCCCAAACGATACTCAGCAGAGCAGCTGCGATGATCTTCAGGACCAAGTGATGGTTTGGGGATCAGGACACCAGGGTTCACATACAACCACGGTCAGAGGTCCTCCACATAATTTCAACCAAGTCATTATTTCCCTGCGTTTCAGTTCTCCATTTCTAAAAATGCAGTGAATAATCCAATGAGAGTTTTTCTTCTGCCCAGCAATGCCCCAAGACCAATTCTCAGCTTTGCCAGGGACTTCTGCCACATTATAGAGGTCACTTCAGCACACCTCTGAAAGACCCGTCCCTGGAGCTCCTGTGAGCCCAGTGGGCAGCCCTTTTCCCTTCCACTTCCATTGATGAGACCTAAGCAGCCTTCACACAGCCCTGCCTGCCCCGGGACAGCGTCCTGCCACACAAGCCCAGCTGCCCCAGGGATCACACGCTGTGCTGACAGCCACCTACTTTGAGATCTGTGATGTCCCTCCAGGCATTTGCTCAGTCTCCATGGGCCTCAGTTCTCCTCCTGTGTGCTGGAGATAATAGAGCTCCCCCATCTCACAAGGACCCTGGGAGGAGAATGTAATTCCTTGTCACTTATGAGTAACGTGCTTTGATAGGTCAGTGATGGGCTCAGCCTGTTTTCAGCAAAATATTCAAACATTTAACCCATATATATGTGTGTGTATGCACACACATGTATGTGAGAATTATTATTCAAAACAACCATAATGCTTTTATGTAAATTCTGGTTTGAATTATCTAACCCTCCTTTTTTATATGCCTGTATAAGGTCAAGGTATTCTAGGCGTTCACTCCCAAAAAGCTCGTATTAGGTATTCACATAATAGTTCAACGCAGCAAAAGCTCCAGATTTATTTATACTTAGCAATTAAAAAAAGACACACCTAACACACTGATGCCTTGGACAGCTATGAACACCACAGAGCGGCAGACCCTTTGCATCAGCTTTCTTGCCTTTAGACTGAACCCTCTCTTCTCTGCTCACAGAAGGGCCACTTTGAAGACTAACTGGATCAAATCCCAGTATGCTTTGAAGAGGACAAATGTAGACCTTTCTTTTCTTAACTGTGCGTTGGGCAATCTAAAATATAAGCACTAATCTATTAATTATTCCATCTCCTCCTCCTTACTACAATAAAGCACTGTTTTATGCTTATATGCATCAATAAAGAGACCTATAAAGAAAATAATGAACATCCTTGAATATCTTCAGAGCATACCCTGTTAATTTTAAAAGGGACACAACATACTGTACCCCTTGTATTTCACCAAGATAAAGCCTATAGATTAATTCCTATTAAAACAGTTGGTATTTTCAGGACATGCAGATGTAATTTATGGAGAGGCACAATACTCATAATAGCTCAAAGGCCACAGAAACTGTAGATCTGTGTCTGTTACTGTAGTTGTACAGGCATTCATTGTACAGAGAGCAGTTGAAAAGGCAGAGTATGTAATCTGAATACTAAATTTGTGAATAGTTTCTCACTTGGGCTGGTTAGGCTTTTCAAGAGCAGCGGACGCTTTGTGGGGGACTTTGTAAAACATTCTGCTAATATATCACATGGTTGCTGTATTTTCTTCTCTTATCTTTACTGTTAGAGCTTTATTCATGAAGGCACAATATTTGATTCTTAAAAGGGCACCAGCTCCTGCTCTATACTCTCCACCTGAATTCAGTGTGCTCTGTATGAGACATTTTCACAACAAATACTTCTTCTTCTATAAAGTGGACAACTTTAGGTGTATATAACCCAAAAGTATACAAGAAACAAAGATCCCTTCCCTCACCCCCATGTATTCCAATTGCTATATCCAAGTTACTTGGAAAATAGTATTATATTTTCTGTTTTATTATCAATAATAAAAGTGTACAGGTTTTCTCTTTTATTATGGAGATATAAATGTATATGGATATATCACTTATGAGGAAGGGCAATTCTAAAGTGTCCTAACAAATTTAATTATGACAAGAGCTACTAACAGAGAAGCCTTGAGCCTGGGATCATTTTTATTCTTTGCTTGTACAGCACCTAGCACAGTGAGGATTTATGCATGACCTGGCTTCCCACTTCATACTTCAACAAAAATAAGAATTGACTGTTGCTTTGCTTATGGCTGGAAATCACAGTACCAACAGAATTACATACATCCAATACTGGACAGTGAACAGCACAAAATTATGAAGTTCATGAAGCAGCTGACACAAAAGTGTGCTAGATTTATTTAAGTTACTGGAGTTGGTGGGGCATTTAGGCAGATAAACAGTTGTTACTTGAGCTGAAATCTGGTAAAATTATAGGTGTCAATTATGTTGAGTATTGCAAAGTACCAGGGAACATTCAGTGACAAACAATCAGACTCATGGCTTTGCAACATCTG